CCCTTTGAATTGTGGTGCTGGAGGAGACTCCTGTGAGTCCCTTGGACTGCAAGGTGATCAAACCGGTCAGTCCTAGAGGAGATCAACCCTGACTGCTCTTTAGAAGGCCAGATACTGAAGATGAAACTCAAATACTTTGGCCACCTAATGAGAAGGAAGGACTCACTGGAGAAGAGCCTGATGCTGGGAACAATAGATGGCAAAAGAAGAAGGGGACAGCAGAGGATGAGGTGGCTAGATGGAGTCACTGAAGCAGTTGGTGTCAGCTTAAGTGGACTCCGGGGGATGGGGGAGGGCAGGAAGGCCTGGAGGAATGTTGTCCATGGGGTCGCAATGGGTCAGACATGACTTCACAACTAACAATAGCAATATTTTTTGCATATGCAACCCCATATGATGAACAAAAAAGTGTTAAAACATGTACATTTGAAAGATGTGCATAACGTGCACAAACCTAGTTTTATCAGTGGAAGAAAAATGTGTACATTCAAAAATTATGTCATTTGATGTATGCAATAAATTCATATGAAAACAAAAGACCTGACTTCACAGACTGGAATGGAGAGAAGTCAAAACAAGCTTCAAAATAGAACTTGGAATGCCTTGATGAGTTTGAATTGTTGATTTGATGGCTAAATACTTGACTGTAGCATTGTTGACCATTTTGTAAAGGGGTTGTTTGGAAAATTGCTCCTGTTCCTTTGAAAGTGGTAAGAGTTAGATAAAGATGGAAAAGTATGTTAACATTTAGAAAAGCTTTAAACTGTTTCTTATTGTAAATATTCTTCAAAATACTATGTTTAATTATCATTGATCTAAGAAGTTAATGAACTTTCATTCTGAGGACAGAAATGTGCAGATCTTTGGGGTAAGGTCTTACTAAAGCTTCTGGGTTAGCCTCTAATAAATTCACAAGTTCTGTGTAAGTATAGACATGCTCCTCTAGTTTCTCTAAAACAATGTAGCACATATCTACTCTGAACTTGTCTGTGTCCCTTAACTTCCAGTCACTTTTTCCATCTGAAAAAATTGATTTATGTTTCTGGCTATGCTGCCAATCTTTCCTCTGGCTTAATGACTTCTTTTCTTTGCATCTTCTACATTTTGTCTTTCTAAAGTGTGTTTAATTTAGCTAATTAATGGTGAGAAGACATTACCACCTTATAGGAGAATACAAAAATTTTTTACCATTCGGTTTATGCTGTTCAAGTTACTGGGATTTTAAGAAGGAAAGTAAAATCAGTAGCCAGCAATGTGGCAATATTTGTCCATGTTGATGTGTCACCACCAAACATGATGCCTGGCCTCCCTCCCAGAAAGGGGCCTTGGGAGAGAATGATGAATGTAGTGTTGAAGGTTGCAGGAAAAGAAAGAAATTGGCAGAAATTGGGCTGGTTTGCACAGGCTTTAAGCCCACCATGGACCAATGGCCATTTTAAATGTTCAACCCACGGTGGTAGTCAGCAAAGGTTGGTTGTTGATGTGATTATGTGATGACCCACAATGCATTCTTTTAGGTTGTGAATGGCTTGTTAACCTTGCCAACATCCTGTCCTCACTGGCCTTGAATAACACAATAACCCATGGACATAAACATTTTAAATATTCAAATGTTTTCACCATGGCTTAAATAAGCAATGAACACACAAACCAAGTCATTTTCTGCTAGCATGAATACTCTCATTTGGACTTCGTGTCAGGATGTTCCTGTCAGCAGAATGGAATCCTAAAATGGATTTATGTGAAACCTTTGCAAAGGAGGATTATTTAACATTCTAAGGAAAAGTGAATAGAATGTATTTCTCTTAAGCATTTCATTTTAGAGTCTGGATTAATATTGTTTTGTGTTAGTTTAAACAGACAAATGGTGGCATATCCCTGATTCTAATCTTAACTGGTGGAACTCCTATACTTTCTGTAATCAGGGAGGGAAGTGAAATAGCTTCATGTGTGCATTGGATTTCATAAACAAACAAAAAAAAAAAAGCAGATGCCTGTCTTTGTGGTGTTTATGTCCTGTTGTTAATCATATCTTTTCTTTTTATACATTACAGAGCCAGGTCCTATGGACCCACCACTCCTGTTGGATGTTAAATCCAGAGCTGTATCAATCTCTTGGCAGCATCCATCTAAGCCAAATGGCATTATCTCCCACTATAACATTTACCTAAATGGCCAACTGCACACAACTGTTCCAGGAATCACATCTAAATGCACTGTACATTTCTTGCAACCCTTCACAGTCTATCAGTTTCAAGTAGAAAGTTGCACTTCCCAAGGATGCTCACTTTCCCCTGTGACTTTACCTGTACAAACCCTTCCAGATGCACCTGAAGATATCCCCGTTCCAGAACTATATTCAGACACACCAACATCTGTGCTAATATCATGGCAACCTCCTCTTCATCCAAATGGACTGGTTGAAAACATTACCATAGAAAGGAGAACGAAGAGGACTGAACAAGTATCCACTGTTGCCACCCTGCCTTTCAATTATTCCAAGAACTACCTCGACCAAAGTGCTGCTCTTAATCCCTGGAAGAAATATGAATACAGAATATTGGCAAGTACTTTTAAAGGAGGTACTAACAGTAGTGCTTGGGCAGAAGTTACCACCAGGCCCTCCAGACCTGCAGGCATCCTGCCTCCCATGGTGGACGTGTTCGGCCCAGACACTGTACAGGTTTGTTCACTTTCATTTTTATTTGTACTAATGTGAAATTTACATTAAAATCCCTAGCTTTAAACACAGACCGTGTCATGGGACTGATTCCTCTGGCATACAAGTTCATGCTCTGATCCAGGGGACTCCTGGTATTACTATTTCTATTACAATTACTATTCTATTACATTTATATTCAGCATTTCTTTCTCTTGTAAGGAACTCAAGGAGGTTTAAAAGTTCACTTCCATTTTGACCGCACAACAACAACCATGTTAGGTAGGTTATCTGAAAGGCTGTGATTGTCCCAGTGTTACCCAGTGAGCTTCATGGCTGAGTAAGGACAAGAACTTGCATCTCCTGAGTTCCAGTCCAACACTAACCACTATAACATATTGGCTGCAGTGTAGCAATTGTTGCAAATTCCATGGTAAAATTTTTATTAGCTACATTCTTCAATAATCATATAGCTTGTGTCAATTAACTATAGCTCTGTAAGTAATTCCAAAACAATCAAAGCTAATCACTGCAACTGTGTCAGAGATGTATATAATGTGGTTTCACTGTTGCAATTGCTACAGCTGAGAATAGGGTCAAAGGGCTTGAAAGATTGCTGGCAGAATCAGTCCCAGACAATCCAAGGTAAAGGTTCTAGAAAATTTTTGCAACCTTGATGCTACATGGGGTAAAGGCCTATAAAATCCAAGGGTAAGTCCCAAGTAATTCCATGTGGAAAGTCCAACAATAGTTTCCACTTTGGACCCAAGTAGTATGTAGAAGAGTCAGGAGCAGTCCAAAATAGCTGGCTACTCTGAACTGTCAATGATGAGAAGACATAATCTATATCTAACCATACTTCATGCTCTATAAAAATTCTAGTAGTACTTTTCATGGCAGGTTCTTAACATTACAAAGTTCGAGGAGACAATTCAAATTAAATGAAGAGTCATTGTGACCCTCTTCTAGAGGGTGGGATGATGGTAAATCCAAACAGAGTGGATTTGGGCAGTGAAGACAAGAGTGTTCCTCACAAAGGCCTCCAGCTTGGACACCTGCTTAACAGAGAAGGTGTGGCTGTGACAGCCATTGTCCTGAATAATTAACTGATAAGAGATTTAGCTTATCTAAATTGACATACCAAATGAAGTTGGTAAAAGTCAGTTCTAGCTACTGACACAGTTGTTTATAGCTTGGAGGTTGCTCTATCAGTAATGAACAACCTCCAAGCTACAACCACAGTCCTTCAGGGAAAATAAAATTCAGTCCAGTAGCAATTGAATTCCTCTATACAGTACAAACCAGAACATTTTACTACCTAAAATATTTCTGTCTCATCCGGATTAAGCTTCAGCCTCTGGGTTATCTAGGTCTGGTATATGTATTTCAGGAGCTTTACTTCACCTGGTAAATAGTCCTGCGCCTTCTAAGTAATACATGTCAAGCTCCATCTTCCACCTTTTCTAGCATTCCAGTTTTCAACTTCCTCAGCTTCCAGCTCAAAGATTAATCTCGGAACCTATTAAAATGCAGATCAGCCTTCAGGTTTAATTTGGATATGACCACCTATGCACCCGGCTGGACCCTGACAAGTCCATTCTGTAACTCCTTGGCTGCTATCCCTGTTGCACATTAGCTTTTCTCCAAATTCAACAATGTCTCTTCACCACCAGCAATAGTAGTTTTGGTACTTTTAATGATTAGTATTTAGCCTGAAACCACCATTAATTCAGACTTTCCCCCCACTATTTTGCTCTCTGTTACAGTGTTGAAAGGCTTCCAGTTCTCTTTCACACCTGAAATACTTGGAATGACACTGCGGGGGTATTGAATTTTAATCACCAAGCCAGACTAAAACATGCATGATACGAAAACGTAGCCTTCTAGGCTTTCTGAAAATGAAAATAGTTATGAGTGATAAATGTTACATGTTTTCATAAAGATGTCAGGATATCTTTAATCTCCAATGAAGCTAAAACTGATGCCTAAGTTGACTGACTAAGGAAATAATAGTCTTAGAGGACTACCTAGGAAATTTTCAATTATTCACATCATTCATTTGGGAATGAACTCTAGAGGACAGGATAACTACCATTGTTTTGGCTTGCATACAAACTTCATTCAAGGGAAATTAGTGTAACCAAACAAGAGGGATTTTTGTAGCTTAGAAGCCTCTTTTGTGTAAATACACACATGCTTCCATGAAGTCAGTCTTGTACTAGTGCCAAAAAGTGTTGGTACGGTAGCTTGCTCACTAGAGCACAAAACAAAGGACATTTGCATAAGGCTGGAGATCATCCACTAAAATTATTGTTGCTGTTATTGATGTGGATGTTCATTCCATATGTGTTTGTGCATAGATATTCCAACCATGTTAAATATTTGAATATTATTTATATAATGAAAAAAATGTGAAACCAGTGTTTGAAATCTTGACTAGGACTGTATGAGGAATCCATTTTCAGGTGGTGGTGGAAATCTATTATATTTCCTCGATCTGCCCCCTTCCCAGTTCTGGTTCACTGTCTATATAGTGGTACAGAGCCACTACAAACTGACTCAGGTCAGCTTGTGGACTTAAAATTCACTGTGATTTGCATTTTTTCAAACTGCTGACAGAATTTTGCTAAAATGGCAGCAGGAAAGCATGAGGCTTTAACCAAATGTGTGCAATTCATGTAAGTCATGTTAGCATCATGCATTTCTAGGGTGCTAATTTGAACAAAATTTGGTAAATGGCGTGGTTTCTGTGTGCTGCTTTGTGCAAAAACAGTCATTCCTCACTCAAAATGGCACCCTAAAATCACATGACTTTGAGTAATTTGCACAAAGTTGAGTTAAAGCCACATGTGTTCCAGAAGCTGTTTTACATGCATTCCATTTTCAGTTTGAAGAAAATATGCAAATTATGGTCTGCCTTTCAGATGGAAGTCCATTAAAAAAACCTCAACTCAGTTCACTTCTGATCATTGGATAGGAAACAGGCAGACATCCTGCAAGCTCGAACAAGCTGTATTTCCGTTTTGGTACATCCCTAAACTTGGCAAGCAATACTAGCTCTAAAATGTGGAAAACCATGCAGATTTTTGGAAATATGTAGCATCTACATCACAGCCCAAATGTCTACAATGGAAAGTGGATTATTTAAAAACTATAGCCCAGATATCACTGGAATGAATGAATCCCTCCCATAGTTGAAGGGTATGGAACTCAGAATATTTAAAAACATTTATGTATGTATGTATAAAAGGAAGTTACAGAAAGTCAGACCAACATAATGATATATCAGAAGGTGTGTGTGTTTGTGTATCAAACTAAGTACATCAATAACCTGTGGAAACATTGGGCCTGTGAATGAAGTTTTCCCAGCTTAATAAATCATGGTTTATTAAGCTGAGAATGAATGTCATTCCCACATTCTTTCTTTTCTCCCCTTCCCTATTGTGCCCCCTTTGGGGCTTCAGTTTTCGTTTCTTTAAAGCATAGTTATTATTGCTTTTGAAACTGTGGAACTGTGTTTCAGCCTTGGACTCAGATTATGCTCCTTTATTATTTCCTTTTAAAAAGCATATATTAGAGAGCAATCCTTTGGACCTAGATATTTGTCTGAGGTTGGAAGCAGGACTCTGACCAAGGAACTTGGAATCTATACTTCAGCCTCCACCCCAGCACCACCAGCAGCTGGTGCAGAAAGAACCACACTGGCTGCCCCTCTGAGTCAACACTGCAGAGGTGACAAAAGGGACAGGAAGGGGTTGGACCCCTCCATGAGATGGTGTAACCTTATAGCATGACAGGTTCCTTCCCTCCCTCTCTGAAGCACCTCCTCTTGATGCCATTTTAGCCACTGAACTGAAAATTAGAGTGGGAGATACAAGGAGGGAAAGATTGCATCCATTGCTCCTTCTTCTTTGCACAGGATGCTTTTATGCCTCCGAGTTAAAGGTCTTTCAAGCATCATGGGCACAACTCACAGGACTGTGCCACAAGTCACCTTCCACCCGTCTGGATACTAATATAAATGATTCTGGCTCTAAGTATAGAAAAGCTTTCAGCTAGTGAGGACTGAGAATGCAATGCCATCCTACTTCCAGCCACCAGATCAGAAGCAGAATTGATCTTTTCTCATAAGAACATAAAAACAACCATTTTGGATTAGAACAAATGGCCACCTAGTTTTGCATTCTGTTTCAAAAGTGGCCATAGATGCATACAGAAAGGACATGTGTGCAATAGACCCTTCATGCTCAGTTTCTGTATCAGCTACTCTTCACAGTCATGACTAGCATCCATTCAAAGCCTTAATCTCAATGAATGTGTGTAACCGCTTTTAAAGTCAGGCAAATTAGTGTTTACCACTGTATCTTCTGGTGAAGTCCATACTTCAACTATGCAACTATGCCTTTTATCTTTCCTGAATCTCACACCATGCACTTTTATTTGCAGGTTTTCTACTTACATGTGTAAATTGTGTGCCATTATTTTGTGTGTGGCTCTGCTGTTTCTCCCTCTCCCTGCCTGCCACTGCCCCTTGGAATGTCAGCACTCATTAGCATGGTAAACTTTGGATATATCTAATTAATCTGCATACAAATGTACCAGCTTCCACCAGGTGAACAGAGAGAGAGTTGTTCCCCCTTTCCTAATCCAGCCTACTGCACATCTCCAAATCTTTGGGAGAATTGGGAGACATTCTGGACAGATTTTGGGGGACTGCAGGTAGAGAAGAGGAGGGAAAAGTCCCACTGTTCAAACACATGTCCCATGAGTTAGTTTTCCCTCTCTCAATGTGTAGGTCATTTTATCCAGTCATACCCTAACTGTTTCCAGTCATAGCTTCTGCCCCTTCCTCACCATCCCAACAATATTACAGGTGACAGCATTGATTATTTGTCTGATATGGGAAGATCATGTGCAGACAGTAGATATGCACTATGCATAAATAAATGTCTGAATCAAGCTCTAGAAAAGCACTTGCCCACTTGGCACCTGCCAGATGTGCTGGACTCCAATTCCCAGTCACC